GTCTTTGGTGGCTCGGTTCATGAGGCCATGACTGATCTTATTGCACTCATGGGTAAGTTGACATTATGGGCAAACTAACTGATTAAAGGTCTTATTTTTTTTTGTCAATGTTGACGTTCTATTTTCCCTTACAGGCTCTCTGGTCGACAGAAAGGGAAAGATTTTGATTCCTGGGATGTACGATAGCGTTGCTCCTTTAACAGACGAGGAGACAAAGCTGTATGAGAAGATTGATTTTGACCTGTCTGAGTACTGCAAAGACGTGGGGGTTGGAAAGCTGCTGCACGATAGCAAGGTGAGTAAAGATTGTAACATTTATTTTATTCACTGCTGAGCCAACTTGGGTCTATTGATATTTGTTTTTAATCATAGGAGAAAATCCTGATGCATCGCTGGAGGTATCCATCTCTTTCTCTGCATGGCATTGAGGGAGCTTTTTCTGAAGCTGGAGCTAAGACTGTCATCCCCCGCAAAGTCATTGGCAAGTTCTCCATCCGCCTCGTCCCTGACATGGACCCCAAAGTTGTAGAGAAACAGGTAATTGCTAAGCATGGTGGAAACTTCATATTGAAAAGTTCATCATCACAACATGCTGACTAAGGCATATATGAATTCAGAGCAGATTGATTTATTTCAGGGCAAGATTTAATAGACATCAGTATTATCCCAGAAAATTGTTATTTATAGTAAGACCCCTGATGTCATACAGTAATGTTAATAATATGTGGTAATATGAATCTTTGCAAGAAGCCTGAGAGATGGGATGAAAGTAAACAGATAACCATTCCTTTCCAATCTTCCCTCCTTCTTGTTTTCTTTTAATCGTTTCCTTCCTGTTTTGCTTTTTTTTACCTTTGCTTCCTTCCTTTATCTTATTTCTTAAGCGTGCATTATCTCTCTTTCATTCCATTCTGCCTCCCTTTTCTACTTTCATCTTGCCTATTTTACTTCTGTTTTTGTCTTATCCTTGTTTTCTTCCTTTCTTCTATCCATTCTTTTTGTAACTTCCTTTCTACGATTCTTGTTTCTGTTATTTTTCCCCTCTACTTTTCAACTTTTCTATTTTTTCAACATTTCTATAGTTTTGCATTCCTTCAATTCTTAGCTTTCTTTCCACTTATTGTCTGATTCTGTCTTTCCATTTGTCTGCAAGCTTTTCTTTTTTTTACCCAATGCTTTTTTCTCCTATCATCCTTTTTTCTAATTTCCTCCCCAACTTCCTTGCTATTCCCAATCTTTTCTTCATTCTCCCTTTTCTAAATTTTTCTTTTTTTTTCTCCATCCCGCCCTTCTTTTCTGCCTGCTTTCCTTTATGCTTTTTTTTTTACCTTCTTAATTTTTATTTTATTTTTTCTATCCACCTTCCTTATTTTTTCCTCCTCTCTTTCTGCTTTCTGCTGTCCTTCCTACCCTTTCTCTTCCCATCCTGTCTTTTTCTATTTCTTCTTAAAACACATAATAGCCGTGTATTTATTATGCGGACAGGTTCTTGATCAGTGAAAATGTAAAATTACTAAAGATTCCCATTAAAACTATTTAACATTTCCTTTGCCTGCGTCTTGTTGAGATGGATGGATCCTGCATTAGACTGAACAATGGGAGATAATAAAAAACAACTACAGTTTGTCATTATTTAGTTTGGGTATTAAAGACAGCAGAATATTTTTTTACTGTTTATTGTTATTATTAAGGTGGTGGACTATGTGCAGAAGAAGTTTGCTGATCTGGAAAGTCCAAACAGACTAAAAGTAACGATGGGCCATGGGGCCAAAGCCTGGGTGTCTGACTTCAACCACCCTCACTACATGGCTGGTCGAAAAGCCATGAAGACAGGTTTGTTTAAAGCTTTATGTTCACTCATAACGCTAAATATACCAACACATAAAAGTGATGACAACTATCCACTCTGGCTATTCTTTGTAAAGTGTATATAAAAAAATGCCCAAAAATATTAGTTTGGTATTAAAATGTTTTACCTCTTCTGTCATATGTCTATTATCTTTCTCCCCATGCTTAATTCTAGTCTTCGGAGTGGAACCGGACCTGACCCGTGAGGGTGGCAGCATTCCGGTCACCCTGACCTTCCAGGAGGCAACAGGCCGCAACGTCATGCTGCTCCCTGTTGGATCCTCTGATGATGGAGCTCACTCCCAAAATGAAAAAATCAACAGGTTTGTCTTCGATTTAAAAAATTAAATTAAAGAAACATAAAACAAAAATATAGAAAAGCAAAAGCTTAAAGATTTAGAAAAACTTAAGCTTTAGCATTTTGCACAATTAAACCATTCTTATGTTCTTTTAAATTTTCTTTCTACATTTTTCAGATCAAACTACATCCAAGGAATCAAGATGCTGGGTGCCTACTTCCATGAAGTTTCACAGCTGGAATGATCTGCTTTATGTCTTAAAAATGCTTCCTCTCACAGCAGCAATTGTTTGGTACTGTTTTTACTTTCAAAATAAAAGCTTTCTGTAGACCTTCAACAATAAACAACTGTTTTCTTTCCTACTCTGTCTTCTCCAGTTTATTTAAAAGCCAAAGGATGAATTGAACAATAGATATATATCAGATGTCTCCAGGCATTGGGTTAAATCATAAAGATAGACCACAATGAAATCACAGGTTAAACTTAGCTTCATTATAATGTTGATTTCACCTCTGACCAGTAGGGAGCGATCTTGTTATTTTTCATGTCCTGCTGATTCAAACTGTAACTTTCTCAGACAAAATTTTTTTACTCTTAATGTTAGGGATTACAAAGAAATGCACATTCTTCCAAAAGAAATGAAAAAAATCCCTCCACATGCCTGAACTTGATGTATGCTTCACATTGTTGCACACTTCTAACTAAATATAATTGGTTATTATTTTTGCCCTTTAGGTGTATTTTGATGACTTTCCTCATCATTTGTAACCATGAATGTGGTTTTTGACATCGGTTTTGTTGATCTTCCTGTGAAGGGACTTAACTAGACTTGTCTCATTTACTTCATTTCATATAATAATTATATATATGCTGGAGGTATCTTAAAAAAAAGTCAAATTTCCAAACATCTGATTTTCGTAAAGTTGATTAAAGTTTTTTTTTTAAATAAATATATCCTGCTATGCCTGTCTACAGCCAATGTAAAAATCTCCTATTCATACCTGCAGGAAGGAAGCCTGTATCAAAAGCCTCCTTAGTCTTCACTACAGTAATGTACGCCATCTTTCTAATGCCCCTTTTTTCCACATAGGTAAACCCTTTACCTCTGTATGTCTCTATTCCAGGATTTAAAGGGTATCTCGCCAGTCCTCCAAGTTGACTATTACAGTAATAGTCCTCCGAGTTGTCTTTTGATGTCTATGTTTATGCACTTAGCAGACGCTTTTATCCAAAGCGACTTAAAAGCAGGCATTAGCGTGAAGGGTTGTGCCTAAGGACCCACACTGGCAGCTCATTAACTGAAGGTATTTTGATAATTTAGGTCTGAAATTTTGCTCATGTTTTTTGTTAATTAAAGTTTCATGCAAGTCTATCCCGACAGTTAAATGTAATTTTATTGATAGATCCTAAAATCAGAATAAATGATTGCAGTTGCAGTGGATATTAATCTAATTTCCTATTTGGGACACTGGACTATTGTTTATGTGACATATGGCAATATATGATTTACTATATATAATAGTGGCTATTTATAAATTTTATTTTTTGCATATTTCACATAATTCATGACCATATACCCTACAGAACTTTAAGCCAGTTAGTTTGGACAGCTGGGCTGATCCAATCTAAAACAAGTTCTTCCAGCTTTTTCATCTGCTCTGTTTCCTTTACGCCTTTTCAAAGTAATAACTAAACCACATTACAAATTCATTTTAGTATAAAAACCTGTCTAAAATATGTTATTAATATTAAAACTTTCTGGAAAAGAACTTGCAGCCGCTCATCTGTAAACTCACAGCAACTAGTTAAAGTGCCCCGTTAGAGGCTGTCAATTAATTTGACAACTTTATTCCCCCTCACGTGTTTTAATGAGATTTTTTTTTATTATTATTAGCTCTGTGTTAATGTTTCCTGTAAATTCCAGCCTCAGATTTGACTATAATCAGTAATTTAAAAGTGGAGTCCATTATGAGTCCAAGTTGCACACTTCCTGGTGATTCAAAACAAGGCTAGAGGAGGGGGAGTGGAGCCCTATTGTTTAGGGCATAAAGCTTGGGATCTTGAGGTTGTGAGTAAGGAACCCACTCCCACAGACTGCCACTCTGGCTCTCTGAGCAAGACCCCTAACCCTGATTGCTCCCTAGGTGCCCCATGATGGCATGATCCCATCCCCGAGGGAATGGGTTAAATGCAGAGGTAAATTTCTCCAATGTGAGATCAATAAAGTTCAATTATTAAAATTAGATCACTATCCACATATGTTGCCAAATTGATAAATGATCTCGAATAATCAATACATAACCTCTTGCTGAGTGATGAAAATTAGACATTTCAAGAAAAACAAAAATACTTTTAAATATAACACTGGTAGGGCATCCACCCATTATTATTATTATTATTATTATTATCATTATTAAGCATGAAGAATTATTATCTAGATTATTGCAAAACTCAGAAGAGTGTATGATTATTATTATATATTTATATTTGCTATTTTGTATTAAAGATTTTTTTAGCGTATATATTAAGTGTAGATCAACCTTGACAAAACTTAAAGTATAGATTAAATGGCTGTTTTAAAATTTTTAATGGACCCTTCAGTTAGTAGAACTATGCTTCACAATAAAAGTCTCGTCTTTATTTTGAAATTCTTAAGGTAAAAAAAACATTTGCTCTTGTTCAATAATAATAATTATTATTATTTTATGCACATGCGATCCTATCTTCATTTTAAGCTTTTCTAACAACTTTTATTCTTAATCGCATCTGTGGGAAACTTTAATAGAATCGGGGGAACCGGAGCAAACCTGGCAACACAAGCGCGGGAAAAATCCTAAACAACAAACGGCACTTCCGGTTTGACTAGAACAGCCTGTCAAGCTATACAGAGATTTTATAAAAACAGCAATGGTTACCCGAAGGATTATGTTATGAATTAAAATCGATGACAGGTATCGTGCCATTAAAAAAAAAAGAACTTTAATTATGCATAACTTTAAATGAGAGCAGGAGCATCGCAGCGGTTCTAACTTTAGATCCGATCAGTCCTTTAAATGAACCCTGTGGCTGAAATGACTTTCTGGATGTGAATGTTGTCAGCATGGATCGCTACAACGAGCTGAAACTACAGCTGAAGAGCTGGGAACAGGAGTTCCTGAAGCAGCACCAGAGGAAACCCACTAAGGTGATTGTAAACAAAGAGAAAATCTCCAACCCTCTGCGTGTTTTCCTTTAATTCTTGATATAAATCGAGTTTATCTTTGTCTTTTTCTAGGAGGACATCGATCGAGCTCCAGAGGAGACCAGGAGTGGGTGTAACTCATATCCTTGCAGCATGAAAATATGATTGTTCTTCTTGATGCACATAAAACAAGCTGTCCTCCTTTCTTTGCAGGGCTGTATAAGGAGTATAGGAGTTTAAAACAAGTTAAAGGAATTAGCAGCAACGATGCATCCAGTGACCAAAGACAAGCTGCAGCCACAGCAGAGACCAACCCAACCAATAAGGTGCATTAGAAAGCCTGTTACTGTAGATGTGTGAACACATCCCTACCTTTGCAGCTTAAATGTAATTTAAATGCTTGGAAAAATACTCCTACCTTTCGATAAATGTTGTATAATTAAGCCACAAACTTCAAGGTATTTTACTTGAAATGTATACTGAAGACAAACTGAGAGCAATGTATGATTACACATAAATATAACAGAAGTGTTCCCACAGCATAATGCTTCCATCACTATGTTTCTGTGTAGAGGTAGAGTGTTGAGCAGGATATATATTGTTAGATTTCCACTGAAATAGTTTTCTGTATTTAGGCCAAAAACCTGGTTTGGCTCCTCTTGTTTGCTGTGTTCTGTGCTTTGAACAGAACAAGTTCTGCACAAGTTCATTTCATCGTTTCTTCTTCTTGTGAGGTTTTATGGCGGTTGGCAAGCTAGTTAGGAAACAAGGAAACAGGAAACAACACTCACCCCCAGAAAAAAAATAATATTTTCCCAACTCTTTAACTTAACCCAACATAATAAATACTTAATCACATTCGTCCTCATAATTTCTAATTTATCTTTGAGTTGTCGTCACTCTGCCAGTTTCTGATGGTCCTTTTGGTTTCCCCATCATGCTTTCAACCATTTCCCAATTTAAATCTCTAACTTCAAGATACTTTTCTGCAGCTTTCACTATAATTTTGATTTTTTTTCGGTTTATCTTGTCGTCTGTGCACTACAATTGATCACTTCTACCATGAAAAGAACAAAATCTTTCTTTTTTACAATCAATGAATCTTCTTCCATTTTGGGACACTGCTCCAGAGGTTTTGAACTTTTCATTTACTGAACTGTTGGTTTGGGTTTTTCTGACTGGGACTGGATCCTTTTTGCAGCTTCAGCATAAGTTATTCCAAACTCAAATTTCATTTTTTTAATTTCCTCAGACCTTTTGCTCACTTCACAGCCGCAATATGCAGCAGTATGTTCTCCACCACAGTTAGAGCATTTGATTTTAACTTCTTTCCGTCATTTTCTATATTCATTCTCTCCAGCACACCTTCCATTTCACTGTATTCCTTTGCGAACTGCTGCTATATGTCCAAATTTCTGTCATATGAAGCATCTCAGAGGCAGAGGAAATGTTTACATTGTAGCTCATGTAAACAGTGAAAACTTTGCTGGGTAACTGCTCTTCTTTAAATTTGATCAACACAGATAAGCTGTCACACCTCTCTCCATGTCTTGTTGTTTTTAACCGTTGCACTTCTTTTACTTTTTCACCACTTATGTTTTCTAGAATCTTTTTTTCAGTTATTTTTAGAGGTACTCCTCCTGCTAATCTTTTTGTTCTCCACCAAGCTGCACTGAGCTCTCTTCCCCTCAATCTTGTTAATCCATATTGCTTTGCCCTGTTGAGCGCTGTCTCTGCAGTTGATTAACAGGTCTCCATTATACAGTATTCTGGCACTTTCTGACTTCTCCTACAAGTTTATTTATCGATTTTGTTAACTAAACTGGATTCCAATCTGCAAAAGAGTCTGCCTGATTAACTAGTTTGAATATGACTTTGTAATCATTTTGTTTTCCTGTGAAATGTATAGGTTGTTCATCACTTGACTGTTCTGAACTGGACTCCCCTTCAATTGATCTCTGCTTTTTCCTCTTTTTCGACTCTACTCTCTTCCAATCTTCTCTTTTTTCACTATAACCTTCTTCCATCCCACAAGAATTGCTTCCTGTTTCCTTCACGACCCAGGACATTTCTCCACAAGCGACTTAGAAACACGCGCCATGCACCAACTCGCTTCCCGATAGCTTTGCTTGCGCATTCCATCATCAGAAGGACTTTTCCCCTCATCATTGTTTAAAGTGGTAGAGACACTTTAGCTAGACACTAACTTGCTGAATATCATATTTCTTATTTAGTCTTTTTCCATCCTATAAAGAGTTTTCTATCATTTCCCACTTCTTAATCGTTTTTTGTCTTTGTTTTGATCCAGGAATTGGACTGTTGGGGAGCACATCTGAATCGCAAAGCAATGCCGGTGTCTGCTCCAAGACTGTCATCCCGGGAGAGGGACGACCTCATGACTTCTTCGCAGTATTATGGTTTGAAGCTTAAAAACAACCTCGCTGCACTCAGTAAGGTGGGAATCACAAAAAAGGCTAATGCTCATTAAAAAAAAAGAAGAAAATATGTTATTCATGTGCTTATTTTCTCTCATGTCTGTAGGAGAAACCCGTTTCTCTGAAGAAGCCCCACCGAACTGGTCGAGTTCCTCTGAATTCCTTGAAAGATGATCAAGAATCACAAAATAAAAACCTCTCTACTGTTTCTGCCTCAGCTGAAGAACAGGAAGAGGAACTTCTCATGCCAAGGTGTTTAACAAACAACTGTCAGCAGTTTAACTACCCCTACCTCAAAAGGTTTTTTATATTGCAAAATTAGCCACTGTAAAGATATCTGCTATAAATTAACTTTATAAGTTAATATTAGTTAAACTTCCCTAGCTAAACTCGATATCTCATACTTTAACCACTATTTTATTTAAACATTTTATTCTTCCTGTTTATTTCATCTAGAGGGATGAAGCCATTCCTGGGGTCAGCGACCCCTAAAAGCCTTCATGCAGCGGAGCCTGAAGAGCACTTTAAACCCTTTAAACCTGAATCGGAACAGGGTGATGCTGTTAACGGCTGCAGTGACAGTAGCTCTGTTAGTTCCCATCACTGTACCAGTAATAGTTCTCAGCTTCAGGGCGTTAAAACTTCTCTTCCAGCCAGATCCTCCCCTCTGTTATCATCTTTATCCCCTCAATGTCTCATTGAAAGCACAGGAAAGGAAAATAAAGGTACAGTAGATAAAGTGGAGGATCCAAACTCAGGAAGCCCAACTAAAAAGGTTGACCCTGAAGTTCCAGGTGGTCTTAAACGGAGCCCACCTTTACTTGCTCAAGGGGGTCTAGTTAAACGGCCCTCTCTTGCCAACAGGCTGAGCTTCTTGGACCGAAATTGGTTGGAAAGGTGTCAGGTGTTCGGAGAGATGGAAGCTGAGGAGATCCCTGGAGGAGGAAACCGGGAAATGAGAGAGAAGGAGATACAGGAAAAGGAAGTAAGAGAAGAAAAAGCTAAACGAGATTTGGAGGGTAATCGGAGACAATCTGTGGACTTGGGAGAAGAAGAAAAGTCAGCTAATGCTTTGAGGGATAACCCGAACCCTGCAACAGACTGTGCTTTACGAGGCGCTGGGGAAAAAAAAGGAACTGGCAACATAGAGAGAGGACAGGCATCGCCCCTTCCACGAGACCATAACGATAAGGATGGTCTGAAATCAGAAGGTGCAAAGAAGAGGGGGCGAAAGAGGCAGAGGGAGGGGGATGACACGGTTGGATCTGTCACAGTAGATGGAGCCAAAAAGAAGCGAAGGAACAACAAAAAGAGCGAGGAGAGCTCAGCTGTAAGTCCTGATCCAGCCGATGGAGGGGAAGGGAAGAAAAAGAAAACAAAACGAAAAGATATCGCAGAAAGGGAAAAGAAGGAAGCAACACAGGAAGCAAAGAAGGTGCGGTGTGATTTTGATTTATAAGCCACTTCCCTGCTAATCTACTTTCTTTTTTAACTTAATTGAATCTGTTTAATCTCTTCTCAGGCTCCTCAGGAAAACCTTTTAGGGGAACTTCAGGAGGAATTTAGAACTAAGACTTTTAAGACTCAGCCAGTCAAAGCCAGGTAGGTGAACAGACACTCCTAGTGGACAACAAGGCTCACTAAAGTATTTACACCCTTTAAGCGTTTAGCGTTCTTCCACCTTCCTTCCACAATTTTATTGGGATTCTATGTAGCAGATTGAAATCAAACTTGGACAAAACTACGAATTGGGAGGAAAATACTTGTTTTTCCAGTTTTAAAGAAAAAAAATCGTAAGGTGTGGCATGAATGAAGTATTTGCTGATTCGTTTTCATATAACAGCTTAACTCAGACTGAGAGTTCCTGCCTAAACCAGGTCCTGGACCATGGTGTTGATTATGTTGGGGTTTGGCTATATCTACATAGAATATATGAATTACACATTTGGTAAAAGGGATTTTTTTTTTATTATTTTAAAAAAACAATATCATGGTCTTAAATTGTAAACTGTCTTATATTTCTTTTAGCAGCATGTCATCCTTTTCATTTCCTTTAACTATAAAACGTATGTTTCATTTATTATAAAGTCTTAATAGAAATGGGTTTTACCTGATGTATAATTCTGAAACCAGTCATTTTTGAACCTGTAGATACTTTTATTTTTGTAGCTGTAGACGTAAAAACTGCTCTTTGAATTTAGAAGTTTACTGACATCTGGTTTAAACCAGCCATATATAAGTTTTCTGTATTTTTAGACCGATTGTTTGACCAAAGTTATCCTATTTTCACTCCTCTATAAAGGTTAGATTTCTGATGTGAACAAGTGATCAATGAATATCAGCATCAGATTATATGTGGGGGGTGTCAGAGTAAAGGAGTAACAGAGATACATGCCAACATTTTCTGATTCTAACGGCAGAAAAAACAATCAGATTAGTCTTGATTAATCGATTATTCAAATAATCTAATGAGTAATTTAGTAATTGATTAATCATTTCCTGGATTATAGAGACTCTAAAACATGCCTTTAGCTGACAGAACAACCCACTTAGAGCAGCAGTTATACCAAAATAAAATTAAAAAAAAGCTTAGATAAACATATTGCATTTAAGATTTAAAAAATATTTAAAATTTCCTTAAAAAAATCTTCAAGGAACCTTTTGCTATCCTGTTATTAATCGAATAAAATAATTAACAGATTGATGGACTAGCAAAAATGATCATTAGCTGCAGCCCTAAATCTGACAAATACTTCAAAATAAAACCCTTTAAGTTTGTGGTTTGTATCGTGACAAAAATGCACGACCTAATGTGGTGTGAGTGCTTTTTTTTTTTTCCAAGTATCATCTGACCTCCGTCTCCAGCTTTCTCTGATAGTTGTTGCTATTTTAACAGAGGAACGAAAGGTGCAGAGGGGAACTTTGTGAAGATAAACCTAAAGACGAAATCTCACGTGAAAGGATATGCTTTACGAGGAGTTGCTTTACGCAAACAGGTAGGAATTCTCTGTTTGTAAATGCATTTGTCATCATGTGTATTAAATAAATATTATTACACGTTGATACGTCTTATGGTTAACAGCTGATCACATGTACACAACAAACCTCAGACTCATTGGCTCCCCTGATAAAGCACAAATGTAAATGAAGCTTTTACTGCAGTTCCACAATGTTGAAATCTGAAATGTAAAATATTTCACAAATAAATGGTAGTTCTTATAAATAAAAAATATATAATTTTAGTTATTTTTTGTCCAATGGTAGGAACTTTTATTTTATTTTATCACTGCTTCATCATTTAACTGGTAACCATCAGGTCCTCTACATCCAAATAAAGGATTTAATTTTAATTTCACACTTTAACATTTGCACTAATCATAGGAAATGTGCAGCTGTGTAGGATGACCTAAAATCGTGAAAAATGTCCTCCGCCAAGGTAGTTATGATCTTAGGAAGGTTTGTCCGTCTGTGTAAGGACAGATTTGTAACTGATTTTTTTTTTTTTTTTTTTTTATCTGAAGTGTCCCTCATTCAAAGAAACAATCCATTAATTTTTGGTGATGATCCAGATCATAATATGCATACAGGTTTTTTTTTTTTTATATATATATATTCTCTAACATTGTGAGATGGGGATATTTGGCAGAACACGCAGTTCTCCACTAAACCAGAGGGTGGCAGCAGTGACTATTGATAGCCTCAGCATCAGACTCAAAAAGTCTGGAGGTATTTTACTGAAGATAAAACACAAAAAAAAGGAGAACGTTGTTGGTTTGTTAGCAGGATCAATTGAATAATTATTAACGAGTTTAATGGACATTTTTTTTAATCAGAGGTGTTCCTCCCGCCAAGGAACAGTTCATTTAAATTTTGGTAATGATCCAGATCATGTCTGAGTTTTAGCTATAGGTGTGAGTCACAATTTTGGGCAAAATTTGCTGCTTGGATGAGGTCTGCTCTCTCCAAGGGATTTTCTAGTGATGTTTAATAAAAAAAAAAAAAATACTATTTACAAGCAAAACTCTAACTTTAACTAAAAGTAGAGATGTAAACAGCTTATTGTGTTTGTTGTCAGCAGTAGGGCTGAGCGTTTTTGCTTAAAGTGAAAATTTCGATTATTTTGATCCAACATTGTAATTTTATTTTGATTGTCCTTTGCACTAACTACACACTTGTACATTTTCCACTCCAGGGTTTTAGTTTTTTCATGAGCTTGAAAGCCTGCTTGTTCAGAGTCCATTTTAGCAGGACAATACCGTAACCTTTGAGAGAAAAAATATGGAGTTATATTTGGGTTTTTATTAAATTACAGAAAAAAAAAGTGATCTGAAAAGGTGAAATAATTCTCATGTTTCATCCTGAGACTCATGAGAGAAAATATATAGTCATTTACCGGTAATAAATAAAAGTCCTCTAACATGTTTATTATACTTTCAGAATTGTTTTCCCCCTTTCAGATTGCTTTGTCCTGAATTTAATGTAAGCACAAACGCGACTCTATGAAAAAGTGCTTAATTCTACTTGCATGCATGAATCTGACTGCCAGCAGCAACTCTCTTCCCATCTTTGTTGTTTTAATCCCACTTTATGCATTTTAACGCCACTAAAAGTGCTGGATTGAGAAATGTACTTACTCTTTTTGAATTTAATGTGACATAAATTCAGTCTTTTCCTATTTCAGATAGCATTTTGTTAGATTGCATTTATATTTTATAGTGAATGAATAGCCCAGCCTCAGCGAGCAGTGCTGGTTATAAAGTCTGAACAGCAGCAAGGAGGAAATATATGTGGCAACATTCTGTATTGCTTCTAGAGTGCAGCAGTTTTTTCACTGAAGTAGCTCTGCAGCATCTTCATGGAGTTCCAGTTCCTTCCCAAATTACCTGCATTTTGTCCTAGGCACATCCCAGAGCGCACCTTCCTGATCAGCTTTAGAGCGGTAGAGAGGCTGCTACTTTAACAACTAAACCATAAACTTGACTGTAACAGTCATAGCAGCAACTGACTTAGAACACATGGTAGCTAGAAGGATGATTTTATCTGGTTGTTCTTGAGAAAAAAAGTAAAACAGAGTTTTTGTTTTTTTTATGTCACCATTACCAAAAAGTAAACGTTCTGGGTTTGATAAATGGTTTGACCGAATAGTATTGGGGTTCATCTTTCTGCAAAAAAACAAACAAAAAAACGTCCAGTTGTACGTCCTTTATACTAAACCACCATGTGATTTACTATAAAGGCAAACATGGTTTTCTGTCTCATAAATCCTCCCTGCTCTGTTCCAGCTTTACATGCAGAAGTTTCAGCTGAAAGGGGAGCGATTTGGTGGAGGTGCTGGATATTTTGGCCGAGGACGGAGGGGCGGATTCAGAGGGTCGCTGAGTCGGCAGGGGGACACCTGTTACAAGTGTGGAGGGACCGGACACTGGGCTCTGGACTGCAAAGGACGAGGTGATGCAGGATAAAATGTTTTGGTGTACTTTTTTTTATTAGTAGACATGAATGATGTGTCCTGCACTGCAGAGAAGATGGCAGCTTTATTTTTAAAAACAAATGCAAAATAAAGATAGAATAGGGTAGGTTCCTATTGCTAAATTTTTTTTTTTTGTAATCCCTTCCTTCCTTCCTTCCTTCCTTCCTTCCTCTCGTGAAAAACCATGAGAGGGAACTTAGATCTAATATAACTGCTGCCTGAGATTTAGGCTTAACTCGGTTCAGCATTTCTTTTTGTAGTCCCCCCACCACCTGTTTCTGAGGATCCTCCTGCAGAGGAGGAACCATTTGAACTGCCCACCCTGGAAGAGGTTGCCAGGGCAACAGGAACGCTCAAACCTCAGCCTTTGGGTACGTTTGTTAAATTATGTTTCTGTTTTGTATCAACGTCTGAAAAATCCTGAAAAGTTCACATTTTGTCCCAATTTTTTTTTTTCTTCAAGTTGGGAATAAGCCAAAGAGTTTGAATTTTTATTTTGTAACATTATTCAATAGTTTTTCGTCATAGTGATGGATGTCTGGATTCCTACCCAAATAAGGCTTTTAAAATTGTGTTTTAGATTAAAGGCCATTCTTCCATGTGGTCTTTATTAGGTCATCCTTCTTTATGTTCTTCCAGCAGCAACACCGTGTGTTAAAGCTGAACAACACCAAGAGGAAAGTGGAGTGGACAGTGGGCAGACAGATGAGATGTTGCTTAACGTAATTCGCCCTGATTATGAGCGGCCTGCTCCACCACCACCAATGGAACCTCTTTATCCCCTCACAGAAGACGGGACAGTCCAGGGTAAACCCCGTAATTAGCATTCAGAAAATAGATATAAATGAGGCTTTGAATTAAAATTGACATTTTTTCTGCCTGGTGATGTTTTGTTCAGAAACCCCTGCTGAAGTCTATGCAGCTCTGAGAGAACTTGGCTATCAGTCCTTCAGACCAGGACAGGAGAAGGCCATAATGAGGATCCTGACAGGTAGCCATAGCCCCAAAAACTCCTGCATGCCTAGTTATGAACTTTCTCCTCATGCTTGCCTCTTCATCCTCAGGGCTGTCCACCCTGGTGGTGCTGTCCACTGGAATGGGTAAATCACTGTGCTATCAGCTGCCTGCTTACCTGTATGCACAACGATCCAAATGCATCACTCTGGTCATTTCACCTCTAGTTTCTCTAATGGACGATCAGGTAATTAGAGTAGCAATTAGACATGCCGTCTCACACATTGGGGCAGCTGTTACTTTTTTGTTTCTTTGCAGCTGTCGGGCCTGCCCACCAAGCTGAAGGCTGCCTGCATCCACTCTAATATGACCATGAAACAAAGAGAAGCTGCTGTAGAAAAGGTGACACAACAAAACGCTAACAGTAGCTTTCTGTAGATCATTACAACTATATTATAGATCTTTTGTAAAAAAAAAAAACTAAATGGGATATTTTGGGAACTGTAAAGCTAACTCTCTATCATTTGATCTGGTTTTTCTCTCCAGGTGAAGTCTGGCCAGGTTTGCTTGCTGCTTCTGTCTCCAGAGGCTTTGGTCGGAGGAGGAGGTTCAGGTTCGGGATGCCTGCCCTCTGCTCAGGAGCTCCCTCCTGTGGCGTTTGCCTGTATTGACGAGGCTCACTGTGTGTCAGAGTGGTCACACAACTTCAGACCCTGCTACTTGAGGCTTTGTAAGGTGTGGTAGTATAATATAATGCAGCCGTGATTTTTATCTGTTTTTTCCTTTGTGGCTGGCCTTGAAGGAGGTTTTAGATTAAAAATAAGGAGTTAAAGTTGCCACCTGATTCGCTTTGTAAGCAGTGGTATCCAGAGATTTTTGTTAGCAGGTGCTAAAGGGGGCAAAGCATTGAACTGATGGTCTTATCAATTATCCTTATATTTTATATATATATATTTATATTTCTTAATGCACACTGATGCAAACAAAAACAGAGGTGAGCTCACTATTAAATCTGCAATAGTAGAAGAATAAGGTGGATAATGAACATGTGATGTTCTGCTATTGAGTTAAAACATGTAACATGTAAACACATATATAGTTTAGTATATAAACGATTAAAATCAATTACCAGAATGGATTCAATGTATTTTGTTTCCCCAGATCTGGGAAAACAAAATACATTGAATCCATTCTGAATTAACTTGCAACATTTGGTGAAGTATATGCAAGATTTTCAACAAGGAAATTAATAATAAATGTAGAATTACTTATAATTGAGTATTTAAATGATATCCCCTGAAGGATATTTGCTTAAATTTTTGTTGTATTTTGTTGGCTGATAAAAAATAGGGGGAAAAACTGACCAAAGATAAATATCTTATTAGGGCAAAATGAAAGTAGCAGTAATTTATAGAAATCATCAATTGAATAAAGAAGCTCAAATTTGACCAATTTAGCATATATATTTATCCTGGAAAATATCTGCAGTGATTGCACCAGAGGACTGTTCTCTCCACATGATATTTCTAAGTTAAACAGGCGTTAAAAAAATCCTTTGTGTATATTATGATGGAGACAGACATAGAAATACAAAGACTCATATGAAATAACGGCAAAAAAAAAAATACATATTAATAGATTTAAAGTGATTTAATGACCTTTGCAATAAAGTAAATGGGGCTAGACAGTCGCACAACAGGATGTTTTGACACTTTAAATGGTTGAAACAAATAACAAAATAATGTTTTCTCAAAAAAATCACAGTGAATTTGTCTATGGAAGAGGTGCTACTTATATTGTATATGATACATTTAAAATGTTTTTCTTAATATGCAATTCATTTCTTAATTGCTTCTGATTATATTTGTGAGGAAAATGTCAAAATAACCACTTATTGAAGAATGTGAACTTTGAAGTACTAATATAAAGTTTTCATTGTTTACCATAGTACTTTTCCAGGGGGACTGATAGCCCCTCACTGCTTGTGAGTTAAGGGTTGGGTAACTGTTTTAAATAACTTTAAACTACTTTTATTTAGCCCGTTAGCCTGCTCAAATCTGGACTTTATTCCAGACAAATTGGACACTTACTCAAATGCAATTTGTAGACTCAGACTTTTTAATTCTGCTGGTGGAAAAACAAAGGAGGTTCAACTGAGTCACATTCCTTAAACTGGAACTGATCTAGGCTAAGAAACCAGGTTCCAAAAATAAAATAACTGTCCACATCATGAATAACGAGCCGATATTTACTTTCACTACAAGCTTAACATTAATGATGAAGCCATTAATTATGAAGCAGACAGGCTTAGAAGTTACAGAGCATAGAGCTGGATTAAAATATTCTGGATTACCAATAAAAAAAACTAAGTTGATAGGTTGATATTAATATGTGAAGGAGATAAACACGAATTTCTATAAATATGTTACGGTTCAGGGCAAGTGTATTTTAAAATCTTTAAAGCGCATTAGTTTTCATGCTTTGATTAATTGACAGGAGCAGCTTTCTGTCTGGTGTTATGCAGTAATAAAACTACATACTGATAACTTAATGTTTTCCTACATTTTCCTGAGAATTTTAAAGGTCTGTAGATCTATGCTGATCCACACCTAAAAAAGAATTGTTTTCCAGTTTGGTTAAGACCTTTGAATAAATGCATTCATGTTTAAAGTTGAAGTTGCTAAGGCGATAATAATTGTCTGACATGTTGAGCAGCTTTGAAAATGAACCCCGGAAAAAACTTTTTGAGCCAAACTGTTTGTTTGTAGGTCCTCAGGGAGCGCCTTGGAGTGAAGTGTTTGCTGGGACTCACAGCTACAGCCACTCTGTCCACTGCTCTGGACATTGCTCAGCATTTGGACATCAGCGATAAAGACGGGATAGCTGTGAGGTCTGCAGCTGTACCGCCCAACCTGAATCTGTCCGTGTCCATGGATAGGGAGAAAGATCAGGTCTGATGGGGTGCTGACCCTTCTCATAAAGCAGTCATTTGCTCTTATCTGGAAAAAAGTTATTTTTTTACTATCTATTATCTGCTTAATGTTTTTTTTGTTTTTTCAGGCTTTAGTGTGTTTGTTGAAAGGAGATCGTTTTGGCTGCTTGGACTCCATCATAGTCTACTGCACCAGGCGAGAGGAGACCGTCCGGGTGGCTGCACTGCTGAGGACCTGCCTGCAAGGGGTGGCATTGAAAGAAAATACCCAGATAAGCAGCAACCAGATACAGAACAACCCGGTTGGACAGAAAAAGAAGGAACTGGGTAGGAGTTTCACGTCTTTCAGAAGACTAAATATCATTTTGTTAAGAAGCAAATCTTTAACTACATTTATGATTATGTAAGAAGTTGATTTTTTCTTTTGACATTCAGCTCGGAAGAAGATCCGCAAACCCCTAAAATGGCAGGCAGAGGCGTACCATGCCGGCCTGTCGGGGTCCGAGCGTCGCCGTGTCCAGAACAACTTCATGTGTGGGGAGCTCAGAATCGTAGTGGCCACTGTAGCGTTCGGCATGGGGCTGGACAAATCCGACGTTCGTGGTATCATCCACTACAACATGCCAAAGGTGGGACGTTTAATAAAAAAGATTTTTATCCAACCTTTAAAATTTGTCAAATATTTATTCTTTATTTTCATTTTATTAATGTGATTTTATTTATTTTTTATTTTTTTCCCCCAGAGCTTTGAGAGCTACGTTCAGGAAATCGGGAGAGCTGGTAGGGATGGAGAACCAGCTCACTGTCATTTATTCCTGGATCCTGAGGTGAGACCTCAACTGTTTAGATATGAAGCCTAACTTGATTGTTAGCTGCTCCTAATTAGGAGCTAATTTACAGGGAATAAGTATATTTTGATAACGGTAGTTTCTTAACTTGTATATATTCCTCTGGTTTTCTTTTTATTGTTTTTAGGCTAAAATTTAGTTAAATATTTAGACTATCAAATTATGATAATACCACAGTTTCATGTTGTTAACACAAGAAATTGGAAACACTACTATTGCAACCTTTTCAGACCAGTATTACTATGTTTACCACCTTTTATAAATGAAAATAAGGCAGTCCATCCCTCTTTTTATTATATTGCGGATGCTATATAAGGTAATATCAAACAATTAGTCAATTTAAATCTACTGTATAATCCGCCACACATAAAGGGGGTCTAACTCCCCATTCTATGATATCTGAATGTGTTTCCTTACAATATAAAATAAAATATGCAAGAAAGATAGGAACACAAAAAAAATATATCTGTATGCTTGTGTGGGGGGTTGGTTTGTTTAAGCTACAACTGGGGCCAGTGTATTGTCAAATATCCCCCATTTTAGGGACCAAAGGTCTAAAAAGATCCAAATGGGGACATTCAACGGGTTCCTTAATGGTAAAGTTTTCTTCTTTGAGTTGGGGTTAGGGTTAGGTATAGGTTGGTAATAGTTAGAGTTTGGGTCTGGGTTTGGCCATATGATTTGAATTAGGGCTGGGCGATTTATTATTTTTTTTTTACGTATCACAAAATCGTTTTTCATTGTAGGCGATATCGATATATATTACGATGTAAATATTTGTCAAGCTTAAATGTTCCGTAGCTCATTAGTGAAATGTGAAATCAAGTCAAATTGTTTGATTAAAATATTTATGTTTTTTCTGCTAAACATAACAGGTGTACTGAAGGAACATGCATAAAAAACACGGACAATGAACTTGGTACACAAACTAGGAATAAAAAGGAAATTCTCAGACTCTCTCCTGATATAGATTTTTTTTTTCAAATAGTTTGTTTTTAAATAATAGGAAATAAAACAGAATAATAATAATGTTCTTGTGTAAAATCAGTGCATATTAAAGCAGCTTTCAAAGACAACATAAAAAAATGCTACCATCTTTTATTGTGAGGCAATAAACAAGGGAAAATTTAAATGTAATCACAGGGGAACAAACTAAATGGGCATATAAGCAATTTCAACAATATCAAATAAAAATGCTAGGAAAAAAGAAGATTCTCACTCTCTGATATTGTTTCTTTTAAACGCCACCTTCTGGATTAATGCGTATAGTAATCATAAAAGCATTGTTTATATTATACGCCCCACTTACAGTTTGACGGTCTGTGTGGGATTTCAGGGTGGGGACCTTCAAGAGCTCCGTCGCCACATCTACGCAGACACTGTGGATTACTACATCATCAAAAAGCTGGTGCAGAGAGTGTTTCCCGCCTGTAAATGTAAGAAGATACAGCAGAAACAGCAGGAGCTCTGGAAGGTGAGCATTTTTATTATTCTGCCTGCAGTCGTCGCTGTTACTTCATAGTTTCATATGTTGTAAAGAATGTGTCTGTGTCCGCAGGAGGTGGAAGACACTGATTTGTTGGAGATGATGGATGTCTGTGATCCGGATGCCCAGGAAAAACCAACAGAAGAAAAGCAAGAATCTATTCACTTGGAGGTAATTTAAAGGGGAAATTCTCTTCATTTTCTTTCTTTCAAGGTTTTTTTGTTGTTATTGCAGTCCTTCTTTCAAACATCATAACTAATTCTATGACTACTCTACAGCCTGGAAAAGAGAAATTTTATTTAAGCATTTTACAGGTATGGGTTAGTATCAAAAAAGTAATGTCTGTTTATGTCTTTATCTGTCTTCAGTGCATAACTGGATTATAGGGACTCTAAAACATGCCTTTAGCTGAAAGAGCAACCCACTTAGAGCAGTAATTATACAAAGTTTGTATAAAAAAAAAAATATATATATGTAAACATTTTGCATTTAATATTGTCTGTTAATATGCTTTATCCAGAACTCCTCAAGGGAAAGTTTGAGTTTCACCTGGTTAAATTTTCTAAAAAGTCTTTGGCTATCCAATTATTAATTGATTAATCAAAAAGATTTACAAAATAATTGTTAGTTGCAGCCCTAATTAAAACAATGATTTACATTTTTTTTGGAGGATTGTTTAGGACCGTTACCTTTAAAGAGCTTCTGTGATTTAAGTAGTATCAAATTACAACAATTGCTTATTTTTGCTTTAAGGTGTCTGACCTCGATTCAGCTGCACAGATTCCTGTGCACAGTGGGGAGGGAAACGGAAGACAAGAGCAGGGCGAGTCAGAAGAAGGAAAAGACAAGGAAGCAGATGGGCATAGTGAGCAGAAAGAGGACAGCTGGGATTGGCCTGAGGAGCGGGTGTGCCATACCCACGAGAGAGCCATTCCCATCCAGGAAACCGTTGAGGCTCTAGACATCACAGAAGAAGGTTGGTGGAAACACAAGCTCCAGCTGTTATACCCCTTTAATTAAAGCAAGCAACATCAGCATAGAGGTGGATTCACATTACTTTGCTCTTTACCTCGATTTAGATTATAAAGGCGGCTTTATCCAACAAACAAGCTCCTAAAAGTGTTTCTATAGAGGTGGAAAAGGCCTTAATAATTTTATTCCTTTAGGTATTGAAACCCTTCTCTGCTACCTGGAGCTGCATCCGCAGCGATTTGTTGAGCTTCTCCACCCAACTCTGTCTGCCTGTAAAGTCAGGTGCTACGATGGACCAAGGCAACTCCAAAAAATCACCAAAATGTGAGCGATGCGAGCGCGTTTGTTAGTTTATGATTTAAGTCTGGGAAGTAGAATTAATAAGATTTGAATTTTGATTTCCATGTTTGAGTCAAACAATTACAAACACATGATAACCTAGAAAATTAGCTTGCTGTGTGCAGGAATCTCAGATTCCCACAGATTTTCTGTTGGTGGGATGTGGTGTAAAAAATGTTTTACACAATCTTTCCAGTTATATTTAAAAAGAGACGTTTTATGGGGCGCCGTCACTTTAAATCCATATTTTTTTTAGAAAAAAACACTTGACTGAGGAAGTGAAACCTAAATGCTCTGTTGATGAGTTTTTAATCATGATCCTACAGTTGTCCTCCGGTTGCCGTGGTGTTGGCCAGACAACGAATGAGAGGCGAGCGGGTGGAGAGTTTGGATCAAGTGGAGTTTGATGTTGTCGAGGTAGCAGACACTATGGGATGGCAGCTTCCCATGGTGAAAAGAGGACTCAGACAGCTGCAGTGGAGCACAGAGAGAGGTCTGTTTGACTATATTTGTGAAATGAAGAAGCTAAAGGCGTCTTGAGATGCTGTTTCTTCTGAGCTTGGTAGATTTCCTTGACGTCCCCCTAATGTCACTTTGTTTTTCCTCAAAACAAAGTTCCTCGTCTTTTTTGCAAAGTCTTTGAAATAGGTCTTTGTTCATCTTTCAGGAGGTGGAAGAAGCGGCATCCATGTTGAATTCTCTTCCCCGTCGTTTTACTTCCGATCTTTTGGAGACCTGAGTGACGAAGAGATGGACAGAGTTTGTCAGTTCCTTTATAACCGAGTGCAGGATCAGGAAAGAACACAGCTGTATCAGCTCACAGCCTGCTTTAAGGCCTTCAAGAGGTATATGGCAATCAGTACTATAAATTTTATTTATAGGCACCTAATTAGGACTCTCAGGCAGCAGGCAACAATTAAAATATTTAGCTACCGTTTGTGGAAAACAGCAGGTACAAGCACAAAGCACAAATCGTTTTGAAAGTCAAAACAATCCAAGGAAAACAAGAGAAAATAAACTGTAAAAAATTTTTTTTAGAGCTTTTTAGAAGTAAGTAGCTTATTTGATTCATGAGAAAAGTCTCAGAAATTACCTTTGAAACCCTCGGTAATCAGACCAGCAGGTAAACCATCCAAAGTGTAACGGTTTAGGATGGGCTTTAAAGTAGAAAATAGATGGGTGAAACGCAGATGTGGAGCACAATAAGAAAAATATATGTCACATTTCTTATAAAACTAGCCTAAAGGTTGAAGGTTACAGAAACACAGAAAGGGGCCTAAAACTAAGCCTTGAGGGACACCACTTACCATTATGATCTTTTTAACTAACTTTAAATATATTTTTTTTATTTTTGGTCTTTGACCTTGTTGTTCCTTGCTAGTTCTTTTTAAGAAACTAGGCATTTATCCCTAGTTTAAGCAGAAATTATTTAAAAGAAAGTATTTTAAATAGTTTTATATCAAGCAAATGTGAGTTAATTTAGCACTCCTTTTAGAGTCCTTTTGTTGTTAACTTTTATTTTGTCCCCCCCATCCCCAAGTGTTGCCTTCCAGAGTGCTATGTCCTGTGTCAACGACTTGGATGAGAGTCGCAGTCTGCAGCTGAAAAACCTTCTCTCTGAGTACTTTGACCGGCGTCGAGACAGAGAGCATGCACTGCAGCCAGTGGACCTGGAGGAGCCCGACAAATACAGGGTGAAACAATCTCTCCAGGAAAGTCTGTAGCTTTAATCTGCCAGTTTCACTTATATGTGTGCCTTTATTACAGCTGTTGGACTGGGAGAACCAGATCAGAGCAGACATCAGAAGTTTCCTCGGCAACAGAAGTGATGAGAGGTTTTCTGGCAGAGCTGTTGCAAGAATCTTGCATGGCATAGGTGAGGATTTATATACACATCAGATTAAATAACCTGTTCTTCTATTATGTAAGATATGTTTATCTCACAACATTTTTAGATGAACCCTTGGAGCTTAAAAATGTTATTTGCCAGATTTCAAAACATACATGTTTTTTTTTTTTTTTCCTGAGGTTAAATGCTGAAGTCCATGTAAGCTGCATATTTTAGCTGTTCTCTTGGCCTTATTAAACACAATAAGTTTAACCTTTTGACCACTAGAGGTCTTCAGAGATCCATCATACAAATAGATTGGCTTGTTTTTGTTTTTTTTAACAGGTCAGTTTGTCCCATGATGAAGCCTTGATTTAGAGCAATAATCAACAAAGTAGAAAAATAGTTTTCATCTAAATTTAGTATCTCACCATCGTATTTTATTTTATTTTTTCATTTCAGTCATGCCTGCTATATCATTATTTTTTAACCTCAGCTTTAGTTGATAATTATTTTCTGGTCCTCTATATTTTCCAAGGGAAAAAATATGTTTACTCAAATATTGTTTTTTTTTTTTTTTTTTTGCAACTACAGTGAAAACATTTTAGCTCAAAAATATATTTCTTCCCCAAAACCTTCTCTCTGAAAAATTTGTAATAACATTTGATCTTGATTCAGGATTTTTCTCAAAATGTGTCAATGTCCTTTGCTCCTATTGGCCAGTCTCAACACAATTGAAAGCTGAGGGGTAAAAAAAATGTATTCTCCCCAATATATTTAGTTTACGTTTAAAATACTTTCCCTCTTTCAGATTGCTTTTTTTTTCATGAATTGAACAAAAACAGAAAAAATAAATCCATAATTTGTCTTTCAGGCAGTCCTTGTTATCCTGCCCAAATATATGGTAAAGATCGCCGTTACTGGAGGAAATACATCCAATTTGACTTCAACCAGCTCATCAGGCTGGCTACCCAGGAGATACTTCACTTCAAGTGATTGCTCTCGTCTGTAATAACATTTTTTTGCAGGTCTCTTTACATGCATTTGTGCACATATTTTATGTGTAACAGTTATTTAAAATGTAGCATGTTTTTGTCCCTTTTCTTTTTCTGTCAACATTTATTTAATAAAAATATTTTCCTAGTTACTTTTGTGAAATTTATTTACATACTGTCTAATGTTTAATCATAGAATGAAAACATGATGGCCTCTCAAAGTTTTCTAAAAGGCCACATAGACCAAAGCAAACAACCCTTAGGTTTGCATTAAGTCTTTCATCTCTAACAAAACGGCTTTGACTCATTTCAGGAATTTTCAGAAATAACAGGATGTTTCCTAGTTGCACCTAACCGAATAAATACACCAGATAACTGAGAAAGATTTGGATAATAAGGAAATATTTATGATGTATCAAATAAACACCAGAAAAAATGTTTTGCAGGAAATTATTATGGCTGTTTTAGTTTACATTGTATTTATTCTTTTTAATTTCAAATATATATAAACAAATTTGATGACTTATGGATAACAAGCAAATGTTTTTTTCAAGCAGAGGTATTTATGGGGTGACAGAAAATTTGCTTACTGGTTAATGTATAATTTGAAAAGTTTATTTTTTGTAACGTTTTTGTTTGAGACAAGCCTTCTCCCTCTGGGAAGGAATGCAACTAGGTACGGCTCAATTACAAGTTAGATAACAAAATAAATGAGCTCAATGCTGTGATTAGCTTAATTAATAACCAGACTGAAAGCAGAGCTGGCAGATAGACATTTGTTGCCTGTTCCATTTGTTTTGTGTGAAGATAAAGAGAAAAGAGTTCAGATTAAAAACTTGTAGTGATGATTTCTAGTTTTTCAGCTCCAGCTTTGCTACATTACATCACACTGGGAACAAGGGCAGATTATTTTATCAGATTATTTTTTAGTTTTTCTTATTTCATCAGTTATAGAAGGGCTTCATATAACAATATATTTTTAGCTTCTTTGATTTGAAAACAACGCAGTATTTGTTGCTCATTCCTCGGCCACCACAGAGGCTCCCTGCAGACTTCGCAGCCCTTCTCCTTCTCTGGTAATTTCCCTATTCACTCGCTAAAACACATTTATGCAAATTTGGATGATCCTAACTCAAAAAATAAAAAAAATACAATGTAAAGAAAAATAACTTTTCTAAGAGACTGATAATTGCTCTGAGGAATTTAATAAAGTTTATGGAAGAGAAGGTCAAGTTCACCCTCTTGACTCTGCTGTGGAAAAAAAAGGACAGTAACAAACTTTTACAATGTCAAATTAGAGGGATGTCCAAAGTACGGCGCTCTGAGTGATTTTTGTTCCGCTGCCAACTGCAATTTAAGATTGGTACAATTTTTTTCCCAACGGCAAAGGCAGATGAAAAAAAAAAAAAAGGATTTGGGTGCATTTATTCTTTAAACTTGGCAGAAAAAACAAATATCTTCCACGATAGAAGGACTATGTCCTATTCCTGTTGATGAGTATAGAGAAAGACATCTAGGTCAATAAAAGAAAACTGAAGTCCCGTAAAAAAATATGTGTGTTTCTGTCAGCAGAAGACTCCTCTTACCCAGATGCACCACAGGACATCATTCCTACCTGTGGTCATCAATCTATACCAATTGTGTATCAATTATTAACCATCACAATTGGTCTTTCCTTTTGGTTTAGTTTTTTATGCTTGATTAATTTTTTAAGCACCACCATGCCAGGCCAGCATTTCCCCATTGTTCACACATGCCTCAGAGAAAGTAATGCTGAACTGTAAAGAGTCATAAGGAAAGCAATGAGTTGGCATCAAATCTTTTATGATCTTAATGAATAATATTTCTAAAATCAAACTTGCCTTCAGTAGATCTATTTAGACAATATCTTGTCACGTTTTTCTAAATTCAAGCAATCTTGGCTCATAAAATTACTTACAAAACTTCAAATTTTCTTCACTAATGAACATTTGTACAATACAAAATGCCATTTCTGTAAACGTCCTGAGGCTTCTAATGAAACAGCTATTAAAGATAATTAAAACATTTGCCAAGTGTATTACCACAATTAAAATATTTATTTTAGGGTGTGTGATAATGACTGATCAGATTTTATTAGTGAGGTTTATTGTGAAACGATTACACTATGAACCATATACAGCATGAATAGAGTTCAGTGCATAAATAATATAATCAAATATCTGTGCAATAATATTTGCTCCTTTTTTCATCAGCAAAAATCCCTCAAGTTAAAATAGTTTAAAGCAGTTTTTCTTCCATTTATACTTTTTCCCCCAGCTTTTTTATTGTCATTACACTATCACAAGTACAGAGCAACAAACTCAGAACCTCTGGATTCCAAGCGCAATGCCCTAACCACTAGGACGCCCCTCCCCCTATACATCCTTTGCTTTTCAAAATCAATATAACCTCCATCACAAAAAAACATATTTTTATGTTAAAAAGTCACTTAACCACAGGATATCTATTCTATATCTTTTCCCCCATCTTTTACGTGGCTGAAAACAATATTCCAACTGTAGGTGTAGAGAGAGGAAAAAAAAAAGCTGTGTGTCTGCTTTAAGATAATTAGTTTTGGTCCTAAAAAAGCATGTTAAGCAATAGGCTTTTCATTTGATTTAATATGTGGTAAATATTGCAGATGATACAGGTCTTAGCTATTTATTTGTTTTCCCTTTGCATTTATGGAATACTTTCCGTTTTGGTATAAAGGCTACTCAAGTACTATTTATATCAGACAGACCATAATATAAATTTATGCACATATTCCTTTTGTTTCAAAAAACTAAACAAAGAAAATTATGAATAGAAATAAAAAATATATCGTGAAAAAAAGAATTAAGCAAAAGAAACCCTCCTCAAAATACATTTTTGACATAAAACAACCATTTCTTAAAGCTACAGTGTGTAATATTCAGCGACATCTAACGTCCAGACTGCAGACCGCAGCAACATGAACATCTCCCCCCCACCGCTTCTCCCCCCCAACAGTACGGC